AAAGTTCTAGGGAGTGGAAGAGACAAGCAAAGCCCTGGGGGTGGGAAATGGTGACTCTTTTTGGGAGATGGCTGAGAATCCAGTGTGGGCAACACATGGGGTGTAAGCGGGGGAGCAATAGAAGCCGAGTAGGGGGAGTGAAGCAGTTACCATGAAGAAACCTCGATGTTCCTGAGGATCCCCTGGGCAGGAGTCAGCTGCGCTGCAGGCTGTCACAGGCATGGGGAGGATAAAGGGGTGGGAGAAGGGACCTGAGCCAGAGAGACGCGGGACCTCTTGTCATCATGGGATAACGGCCTACTGTGCAAGGTAGGTAATAATGAGACGAGAACCTAAGATGCCAGTATTTATTGAACAACTACTATGCACCAGATACTGGACATACTTACCTCGAGGAGTCCCCTGCTCCCTGCTACCCACCCGCAGTGCTACCTCCACAATGTCAGTGGTTTGCGAAACAGTCTCTGATACACTTTATATTACACAGTGAACTTCATGGCGCTCCCCTTCGAACATGTGGAGCTCAAGGCACATCCAGCAATAGTAACAATGACCAGGCCCTTATTCCAACCCTGTTCGTATCATTTTACAGATGGAGAAGCTGAGGCACAAAGAAGCAAAACGATCTCTTTCACATCAAACAACTTGTCCCAGTGTGAGAACGGAGTTTTGAAGCCAGTCAGTCTGGCTCCAGGGTCCACGACGCCATCACTTTTTTCCAGGTGGCTTCCAAGAAGGGAAATGGGAGACACTGAGAGAGGGAATGCAGTGTCGAGGGTGACTGGGCCAAGCAGGTCCTTTAGGCAACAGGAAAGCAAGTGGGTTCACCTCTATTAAAGTAAATGTCTACCAGGAAAACTTTGCACCTAACATCTCATTTTAATCCTCGTACTGGGTCCTGAGGAAAGGTACCCTCATTTTGCAAACTGGTCAAAAAAACCTCGAGTGGTCAGGGCATTTGCTGAATCACTTGGGTTAAGTAAGGGGCAGCGCTCCCAGCTAACTAGTCCGGTAAGGGTCTGGGGGTGGAAATGTCAGTCAGTGCATGCTGTTATGACAGAGGTAGCAGAGGGTGAGCAATGCCCATGTGCAGGCAGGTGGAAGGAGACCAAGAGAGGTCACTGAAGGCTGCTGGGCCTAGATGCCAGTCAAGGATGTGGCTAGAGCAGAGCTCTGTGGGGGCCCTGCTATAGGGTGAGCCAGGGGGCAAAATGGAAGGTTACCCCAGCTCTTCATGCCTTTCAATTTTGGAGACCGCAATCACAGTCTCACTGGGGCTGTGAAGGGATCCCCGAGATGAAGTTTGTGCCATTTTGCAGATGCTGCAGCTGAATGGGTGGTGGAGCTTTAACAGAAGCTAATGGGGCTCTTCTGAGAATTCACACTGCCATCAAAGAAGCAGCCATCCTTTGAGGTTGACACCTACAGTACCCACACCTGTTGAACTACAGAAAACAACCACAGAAGAAAAGATATGTATCGGAGGAGATACAAAGGGGGAAAAATTGGGGACAGTGAGGTCAAAGTTCAGGGAAGTGGCATCTGAAACCTTTTAGCATAGTCAGCAGGTGGCGTTAACAAATGGGGGCAGAGAAAATGGGTGAGAAGAAGCCTTCCTGGCTGATGCAACCAGTATAGTCACAGAGGGGAAAAGCTTACACTTAATGTGCTGGGATCTGCAGAGGGTGGGCTGTAGAAAGCAAATCGGGGCTGCTGGAATGCTAATTTGACAACAGAATCATATATAGTCCTCAGGCTGAAAGCATTTAATGGACTATCCCAGCAACTGCACTTCTTTCCCAGCATCCCCTGCAGTTAAGGACCACTATGTGACTAAATGTGACACAGGAGATGTAAGCTGAGGTCTGCTGGGGTTTTCTGGGAAAGCTTTGTCCCTGATAGTCTCCTATTAAGATAGGATGCTTTTGCCTTCACTATAGATGTAATGCTGGAACATCCTGTGACCATGGGGACGAACGCCCGAATGCTAAGGAGAGTGTTATGGTAAAACAGACTCAAATCCCTGATGGCATCACTGAGAACTAGAACCAAGGCCAGCAGGTAGCTGCCTACGAATCCTCTTCTCAAGTGAGAAAAACATTCTTCCTTTAAACCATGGATCCATTTTTTGATACTTGCAGCCAAATGTATTCTTATTTAGCAACATAGGGCCTCACTTGCTTCATAGCAATTCCTGCTTTCCCATAAAGCAACGATCAAGCGGGGAAAGTTCTAATCTGAGATTTCTCCGAAGGTGTTTTGTCCTTGAGTATACTTCCTCTTTCACATACTAAGGCCCTATGGGATACTAGCAGTTGGGACTCACTTTTCAGAAAGTACCCAGGCTGAGCAACTCTGCTTCCATCCCGCAGCAGGTGGGTGGGTCCCACAGAGCTGCGGCTTGTCTGGGGCTTGGGAATGCAGAGGATGCCGACTTGGACTATCGCCAGAGCAACTTAAGGGTCCTCTTCTCATCTCATCTGGAAAAGGTTTCAAGGAGCCCGAGGAAGCTAGGCCACCTCTGTTTTCTGTTTCAACCTGGAATAAATCTGCCATGTGACAATAGACTAACACAGCCCCTATGCACATCCAGCCCATGTTTAAGTGGAGGAAAAAACTCCCTCTGAGTCACTGTCGGCAACGTCCAGTACATCACAAATACTCAGTTCTATATATATCCCTACAAACTCTGTTTTATTTTAGCCAGAACAATTCAGATAAGGTTTTGGATAAATCATGTGCTTACCCAAACACGCCCTCCTTAATTGTGACACTGAGGAACTGCACAGATTTAGCTAGTGTGTTACTCTTCCCTACCTGAACTTGGTGGCTCTATTAGGGAACTAAAAAGATGTAGACAGCAAGATACTCTCCTACCTGACAAGCTGTGATGAATCTACCAAGCATGACCTTACCTCGGAGGATCATCCAACTCTTATAAAGCAAGTCTGTAGGACCGATTTTTCCCCTACTTAATGTTAGCATAGTGACCCTATGGACAAATTTGGCCATGCCAATGCGGCAACACCTACCTGTCTCTTGGAAAGAGTTAGTAATAAGCCTTGAACTCCCTGCTAACAGACTCCAGAATCAGTGCTTCTCCCTAAGGGCATGCAGGGTGACACAAGACCAGTGCCCTGAACCCTGCTTGTCTCCACGTGTAATTTTTAAGCAAACTGATTCCTATTAGATCAGTCATCTCTTCTTTTGGTCAGTCATCTCTTCATACCCCAATCTTACTAGCCCTTTGGGTTTTAGTACACATTTCCTGGCCCTGTTAGTCATAACTAGGCATAAAACATATCTGCTTCCAGGTCAGCTTCTGGATGGCCTTCACATCTACTGCTCATGTTCTCTCAATTTTAAAAACTTTAACACTAAATCTCCAATGCCAAAATACTCTAACAGTTGCAAAAAAGACAAAATATATTATACAAGACTGTTCTGATAAGATCGTGTTTTAATTGCCTATGACATAGATATATTACATAATGGCTCAAAATTAATAGTCTAGCAAAGATTAAAGAAAATCAGATGAAAGTGAGTTTGTGAATCCTTAATCTTGAGTAAGCTTCCAGCAAAAAAAAAAAAATAATAAAATAAAATCAAGGGTTAGAATCATTTTAAATTGTATCTTCAAAACTAGCACCCTTCGCCATCTGTCTTTTATTCATTTTGCTGTGTTACAACTAAAAAGGCCCATAAATACTCCCCTGGGTCTCAGATAACAGTTTTCCAAGAGCAAATATCACTTCCTCTGTACAGTGAAAGCTGGCATTTGGATGGGCTGGATCGGGTGGACAGGCTGAAACACTGGCTTCTTTCTCATTTCAGAGAGTGTTTTCACTGTAGGGAGCAGCTGATTCCTTTTGATGATCTGTAAGGCCAGCTGGGTATTACCTACAAAAACACTTCTCGTTAAAAAAAAAAGCATACAACAATACCACTACATACAAAGCAAGCCATCAAAATCCTGCAAGGAAGGTAAAAGATGATCTAGAAAAGCAGTGGTCAGCAACCTTTGCTACACGCTGGAATCACATAATGCCTCCATCCCATCCCTGGAAATTCTGATTTAAGAGATATAGGGTGTGACGCGGGCAACGGGATTGTTCAAAGCTCCCTAATGATTCTAAGGTATAGCTCAGGTTAAGAACTTGTCTACAGGCAGACTACACGAAAGGATCTAGAACTATGTACTAATCCCAATACGACTTTCAAGAAGCCAAGGCCTGCTGGGTGCCAGGCACTTAACGTCACTTCTTCAGCTATAAAAAGAGAGCCTTGTAAGGATTCCCGTGATCCACAACAAGGTATAACATTCAATTCTTAATATTTCTGTCTCTTCTAATTTCTCCCATTCACATCTCTTTCTACGTCACGCTATCTTTTACATAGGGCCCATGGGCTTTCTTCTAGTAAGCCACATCCTGGAGGCTGTATATGCCCCAGAGGTATAACCTGGATTTAGGGTAGGATAATATAATTTTCAGCAAGTACTGGCTTACTCTGTAAAACTCATTAATGATAACTGTGTTCAAAACACTCTAGTGTTCAACTCAGAGCAACTGGCATTCTGAGTCATGTTCTCAATTAGAGTCTTTTGGCTGCCTAAGAGAAAGGTTAATTAGTAGGTATTAATTATAATTAAGTGTCAGAAGTTATGCTATTCTGCATTTTCACAGATAAAAGGAAATATGCTTAACTTGCAAGAAGTAGAAATTTGTAAGATACCAACAAGTTCCCAGCTACACTTTTGTTTAGAAGAATTTGATGGGTAATGTCTTCAAGGAAGGCAAAGGCTCCAATCTGAAGAGAAAAGGGAGATGCCAAAAATCTCGGGCTCTTTGAAGAGGGGAGAATCACTTACCATTCTGCAGTTCGAGGTAGACCGCCAGTAAGATGGCTTCCGGAGGTACCTCTTTAGGATGGATCATTGAAGCCGCCTTTGCTCAAAACAAAAGAAAAGACATCCATGAAACCAACAGCTTAAGATACAAACTCCAAGTAATGCCCCCCGCCCCCCAAAAAAGAGTATGTCAGCCTACCAATGAAAGTTAGCAAACTTACTCAGGCTCATTCCCACATGACCCCCTAGGGACGACTACAGTTCTGCTCTGGTGGCCCTTGGGTGTCTTTGTCGTGATCCCTACCGATGAAACTCGACATGCAATTTTTAGTCAAGTATTTATTTCGCTTGCCTAATCCATAATGAGTTCTTCATGGAGGAAAGCTTTCCTCCCTCTTGGTTTCCATCTGCCTGGCGTAGTTCTTTTCTCTCCTGGCTAGTTCGGTTTTGAGATGGGCGATCAGACACTGCTGATTCTTTGCTCCAGTCAACGTCCAAGTCTGCTGGTGGCCTGCCACCACAGATACAGTCGCACTTGTATTAAAATCTGCAGCCCGTTCCTTTTCCTAAGTAACAACTCAGTACTGTAACCTGCACGTTCCCAATGTCAGCAATAAGAATTCAAACTTAAAAGGATGGTGATACGGGAAAAAAAAGTACAACTAAACATATTAGATGTCTCTATTCTTAAGGCCTAAAACAGTACAATTTAGTCAAATAAAATAATTTGTTTAGGCAACATGCTGTCCTTTCCTAGATCTGAGAGGCATGTCACCGGCCACCAGTTTCTCTCTGATTTAGTCCCGAGAAAGGTAAGCCTGGACCGCTCTGGTCAGAGGTGCTGAGGTGACAGGTTCACTTCCTCAGTCCGGGCCTCTCCTGGCTGCAGCCTTTCCTCACCTTACTCTCCAATCGGATTTCCCCACTCGGTTCCAGGCGCTCACGCTTCCAGACCACTTTGCTCCTTCCCGTTATCTAAGCAAAGATTGTACTTCTACCAGGGGTGGGTGTGAGGGCAAGATAGGGACCTACCCTGATAACAAACAGGCATGCAAGTAACTAATAATCCAAATGTACTTAAATGTTAGGGAGACAGGAAAGAGCATGTATTGTGAATGTGGAGAGAAAGAAACAAGAGTTTCTTTCAACGGGGAGTTTTGCAGCAAGGGGAGCCCACCGTAGTCCTTTCGGGGTCGGTATCTGATAGGCAGAGTGGGAGCGAGGGCTTTGCGGGCTGAGGTGGGAACACGGAGGATGTCTGAGGGCCGGACACCTGCCCAAGGTCAGTTCCTGGCAGCACTAGAAGAAATCACGGACTCATGGGGATTCCGTCCAGAGCACACGCCCCTAAGTTCCCCATGAGGGAAGAAGGGAGTCTTTCATTCCTCTTACCACATCACTAAGGTGTAATAACTCAGTTCAGAAAATGAGATTTTATACCTTTGGCCTAGCTTTCTACAGGCAAGATCACTGTTACAGCATTTTGTGAACATTAAAATCTCCATTTTCCCTCCAAGTGGCAAGTTAACACAGGTCATTTGTCGTTCTTTGCACTGACCACCGTCTGGAGCTTTTTCTATTCTGAGACTTAATGGTCTTTTGCTTACGAGCCGTTCAGAATGGTCAGCGGTGGGCAGGCAACCTCCGAAACATCTACGTGGGAGCCCTTTCCAACTCTTCACATCATTGTTCTGCCCTCCCAGGCGCGGTAGGCCTCCCAATTAACAAAGGTCCAGCCATTGGATTAACCTAAAAACCAAGGGACCAAAACAAAACCCCCTTCAGACCCTGAGCCAGGCCTGACCCCATCTGTCTCTCCCAGCATGGCAGCTGCCACGGCCACCTGCTGCATGAGAACCTGAGCTAGACCGGACATGCTGTAACTGTGGACCAAAAGCCCTGTTCGCTACAGTCACTGAGGTCCATGGCACTTTCAGAAGAGCTGTTAAATGCCCTCATCTTTCCACTGAGAACAGTGAAATGTCCGAACTCTCACCCAATTAACTCCTGTACTCAACTCCTAGATAATACCAAACGTGTCTCCCTGGACAGTCCAGCACTTAACTTTTCTGATTTTGGATCAGGAATGCTGACCGGATGTCACTAAGTTCACTAAACATCACTCGCGGTTATTTTCCACATGGTAAGTAAGCTTCATCGTTGCTAGATACAAGGTGGCTTTCACAGGAAGCAAATTTCTAGAAGCTACCATATCTCCTGAGAATAGGTTTAATTTCAATTTCAGTTACTCAAACATATGAGGATGTGGGCTCTCTCATGTGCTGCTGGTAAATATGCCATGTGACAGACACTTTCTATATCACAGAAATCTTAACATTCTGCATACCCTCTGACCTTGTGATTTCCTTTTCAGGAAGGTGTTTCCTCACTGTGAGCTCCATGGGGGCAGGGTTGGATCATGCCCACTTATTTACTTATTCTCACAGCTGAGCACAGAAGTAAGTACTCTATTGATACCTGCCGATTTTAATGTCCTTTGGAGGAATTATCCCTTTCCGATTCTGTGAAATCCCTCTGGGACTACCAACAGTGGGACTTGTTGCCTCACTACAGGTAAGGGCTCATGCCCACGACTGGTCCAGGGAAGAGGAGGTGACCTAAGAAACCCGATCAGATGCTTCCTTGAGACCAGCTGATGAGGCACCATTTCAGTGGTAGAATTCCAAGGTCTATTTTAGTTATACATTGCTAGTATGTGGAGTTTACTTGGTATTGGCTTCCTGAATCCTGTCTTTCTGAAAAGTCTACCTGTAATTTAACTTTTTGAATAGATACAGATCCACACAACTCAAAATTAAAATGTATACGAGTATCTAGTGAAAAGTTCCCCATTTTAGTGCTCTAGCCACAAGGTACTTATCCTGCCGCCCCTGAAACCAATGTTAGCAGTTTCTGGTGTGTCCTTTCAGAGATCTTTATGCATCTACAGGATTACAGAGAAACTGTTTTACAGTTGTCTCATTTCACTTAATAATATGCTGTGGATGTCTTCTCATTTTAGTACAGTTTATAGCTGCATTGTTTTTAAGTATATGGATGTACCATTATTTAAGTGGTCCCTTATTTAGATGGTTTCCAATCTTCAGAAATTTTTATTAAGATCATCAGAAGAAATTTCTCCACTAGGTTCATTAGAAATACTGATCAGCTGTTTACCTTGCAAGAATACTTTTAAGTTTGGAAAAGTAATATTCCAATGTTTAATAAAGTGACCAAAAGCCTCAAACAAAATAACGAAACCCATACTCCACATCCTTTGCTGGCTGCTTTATAAGCGGACTTGACTCTAGCCTCACCTGATGCAGACACTTTCGGGCTTTGTCATATTCGCTCCTCAGGCAGTAGGCACTGCCCAGGTTGAACAGCATCACGGTCCTGGCGGAGTTGACGGAACTGGGGTAGCACTGAGGGGCTCGCTTCCCAGCTGGGGAAGAAGAGCACAGACACTGGTGAAGAGGCTTGGCCAAGGGCAAGGGAGCAACCCAATCCACCGCCTCCAGGAGCTACTCAGAATGAAGCACAGCACTGCTCCTCAGGCTGACAAATGAAGGACACAGAAGGCTTGAGTCTAAATCTTTGAGACGCTGGCCAAGCTAAAGTATTTGCAAAAGTTCTCACTTACAGGATTCCATTGCTTCATTTTCTCCTTTGTCTGATCCTACAAAGACATGAAAATAGATCTGAGGCAGGAAAATAGAGTATATATTCTAAAAACCTAATTTTCTTTATGAAATGGAAATCTAATATCAAGGCAATTGTCACGGTATTTACTTTTCTTGTAGTAAAGGTTCTGTTGGAAGACATCAGAATGCTATCACCACCTACCACTCAATGCCTGAGAAATAACCTTGAATAAAGTGAATGTCAGTCTCACTCCCTTAAAAAAACTTAGCCACAATTTAAAACTGACTTTTGTATACAGTATTTCACTTTCCTCTGGATTGTGGAATCTCCCTAAAAAGAAAAATACAGTAGGAGAATCAAAATGAATTGTTCTAACACTATCAGCCTTTCAAAATGGAGAATTTAGAGCATGTGATAACCAACTTCTAGATCTACTCAGCAATTACTGCTCAACGATATTACAAAGTAAGTACAGCCAAAAATGGAGACAGCCGATCTAAAACTTCCTTCCCTCCGCAACTGTGCCCTTAAATTTCCACACATCCTGAGTGACGACAGGAAGGCAGTGGAAATGGTGACCAGTTCTGATCAAATGTGTCCTCATTAACCTTGGTCCTGCTCATTTGAAGAGATCCCTAAGGAGACATCAGTGACATTCTCCGGGTTCAAGTGAGTAATGGCATCGGATATTCTGTCCAGAGAGATGAGGGCTTCTGCAGCATATAAGTGGCCCAAAAACCTAAAATGAAACAAAGATTTCAAATTGAAAAGTAGGTTAACAAAAATACAGGATGTCTATAGCCGTGCCATCCTGAACGAGCCCGATCCCGTCTGATCTTGGAAGCTAAGCAGGGTCGGGCCTGGTTAGTACTTGGATGGGAGACCACCTAGGAAGACCAGGTGCTGTAGGTGCGAAGAATGAATGTGTTGTTTTCCCATCAACCAAGGGTTGCCTCACCTAAAAAAATTTAAAATAAATAAATAAATAAAATGACCACTTAAAAAAAATACATGGTGTATAATAAGATTTGGTGTGTGTTTCACACATTTCAAGTCCTTTATAAACTTGGGTTTCTAAGTTTATAAACTTATATCAATTAAGAGTCACTTAAATTTTATCTCTTTAAAACTATCTTAAAATATACGATAATTATTTTTATATTAGTTAAGTCAGAACAAACTACACCTATCATTTAAGAAAGTAGTTCAAAATGGCAAATTTATGTTGTTCTATTTACATGGAAAATAATAATAGGAGAAGGTAATGACACTCTAAAATAAGAGGCCAGTTCTGGGCTGGACGCCTATCGAGTGGAGCCTCAGTGGCAGAGTACTTTAGTTTCTGCTGCTGGGACAGTCAGAAGGCATCAGAGCGCCAGGCCACACTGAGACCAGATTTGGGCTGGATCAACTTAACTTCCATTCTAAAGGTTTCCTGCTTTTCAAATCATCTATTTTATGCCTACTACCGCGAGGGCAGATGCGCATCCTTCTAGCTTATGATAACCTGCTTCTTACTTTGAGCCATTTTCCCCATGATCATCTGATTGAGTTTTCAAAATTAAAACAGCTTAGACATATTATGCCCTTGCTCAAAATCTTAATAACTTTCTACATGAGAACAAAACAAAACTTTTACAGATTTAAAGCTCTCCACCATTTGGTCCCACTTTCCTAAATCCAGTCAATATTCACACTTCCCCAAAGATGATTCTTCTTACCAGACCATGTCCTGGGCAGAGCATACCCACTGCTCCCTTGTGGCCTTTCTTCTTGGGCTCAAAGTGAGGCCTCATCTGCATAAGCCAATATCTAACTCCTCCTTTTAAAGGACAAGCTCAGGTCTCACCTACTCTAGCTAGCCTGACTCAACTGAGTGACCACATGGATCTTGGGTTCTCAACGCTTAGGCTCTTTGCAGTTTGACCATTTTCTGAGATTTATGTACATTAATCATTTCAGACCTCTTTATTTCTTTATTAAGCAATTTCTTTCTTCTAACTAGCAGAGGCTGCTATGACCTTTCATTTTGTTTCTCTACCAAACACCCTAACAGAAATGACATTAAAAGAAAAAATAAACAGTAACTTAAAGTATAAGTTACTGTTGAAATAAGATATTTTAAAGATTCTGTTAAAGTAGTATTTACAAGCCAACAATCATCACAAACACAAACACATAAATTCAATGAACTACTTCAAATTGTTTTCTGTGAATTTACTTAAAACAATAAAATTTTTTTTTTAACCAAATGAAATGCCTTCATGACACCCAAAGCCCAGAAGTCCTTGGCTAGGTATATAAAGCAACAAGCAGTGGGGGTAAAGCTGCTACGACATTTAGGCTGCCAAAAGCCAAAAGACCTGCTTATCCTCATTAGAAGATAAAGAAACCAATGCTTAGTATAGAATGGTTAAAAGAATTAAAAGAGAAATTACCAGACATGGCTTGGCCAATCCCTCAGAAGTTAGCTAAGAAATCATATAACCTAAGAATTTTGTCTCTTTGACATTCAGAGGGAAGAAGCTGATAAATGAAGTTCAAAACCATCAAACAAATGCCAGGTGAAGAATCTACTTAGGATTATTTAAGAATAGTAATCACAATGTCGACCAAAGGATTTAAAAAGGCAGCAAAAATCTGTTTCATTTTCGCTAAAAAGAAAAAACGTTGCTCTAATAGTGGCCATGCACACTGCAATCTGAACACTGCAGTTCTAATGGTGAAGGCACCTGTAGTTCGTGACTGGTATCTCACAGAGCTACAGGTGAGGATGGAAGGCATCTTGGGGGCAACCCAACTGCCCTAACTAGAACTCAGGATCCCCCTAGGCTTGAAAATTAGAAAAGTTTTTCTCAAAGAAGAGCAAGAGTTCCCTTATATTTGAACTGTGACAGTGTCTAATACTAATGTTACTGGACGAACAAGGTATGTTTGGGAAACACTAGCCTGAAACAACCATAATCAGTGTTAATTTTAGATGCTTGTATATAAAGTAACACTTTTTTTTTAAAGACAAAAATAATTAAACATTTACCAAATCATTCCTCACAGTATAAAATCACAATTCCAAGCATTGTATGTTATACATAAAGACCACTAAAAGGAAAAAAAAGTAGTTATATTTTGGAGATTATAAGGATATACCCACAGGCTGAATGAAAAAAAAAACAACTGCATAATATTACGCAGAGTATGTGGCTTTGGATAAAATTTCCAGCATGAGCATCATATGAAGATTTAAAGCATGCTGTCACTTACTCAATTCCATAAAAGAAAAGATGATGTGCTTTTGAAAATTTTAGCATTTAAAGAGGCATTTGAAGAGTTTAAATAAAACTCATGTACTCAGGTACAGTAGTTTTGGAAAAATAATCTTATCTGTCTATTTAAATCGCATTTCTCAAAGTAGATTCATCATGATGACCGAACTCCTTTTTTTGTGAGTGTTCTGAAGACTCATCTTATTTGGAGGCTAGTATGTGATCCTATGCTCCAGTGATGTGTTCTAGTCAAACCTAGGAGCAGACACCAGAGTCCAAAGTTTCTGCCTCCTAATCTTTACTGTGGCAAATGCCATTTCCATTAATCCTTGAAGTAAAGTGAAAAAATTTCACTATCAAATGAAATTACCAAATCAAAAATTTTCTTAATCAGTTGCTTTCCCTAGACAATATCTATTCCACAGGGGGAGTAAAAAGAAGCAACATGAACCACAAACTAACTGAAAACCTCTAAACAAAACAAACCAGGGACACACAGGGCAAGTCACACTTACTTAAGAGATCCTGACAGCTTGGGCTGCTGAAGAAGTTTATCTGCGTGATTCAAAGCCATAAGGTTATCACCCAAAGCCAGAGCCACGTAAGCACTACAGGCCAGTATGGAGCATCTGGAACACAAAAGGGAAGGGCCGAAAACCTGAGTAACAATATTGACAATGGTTATATTTGTTAAATAGGAAAGAATGCCCTAATTATAATTGTGACAATTTGGACACCAGGAAAGAAAGGAAGCGACAATACTAATGGTAAGAATTAGAATGATGTACAAAACTACCATCTGAAGCACAGTATAGCTATTTACCTAAAGCATCTTTAGCTTCCATCCAACTGACCCTCATCTCCAACAAATTAACCAAATGGAGTTACAATATATATTTAGCCTGTAAAAAAATAATGTAGTTAATGGCCTAGTGAGAACTTACTTCCATAGAACATGTCTTTCAATATCCTAGAACTAAAGCTATATAAGCAGATGTGATTCTTCCTACACACATTTGTGATTTTGCTATGAAACACAACTTACTAAAAACCCATTTAACTTAGCTACTGTAAAGGGATCTTCTCTGAGCCTATTAAGAAGTCTATAGTTCCTGCTCAGTGACATTATCGAGAGTAACTAAAAGAATTTCAGTCACATAGCTACTATTATCCTAAAGGAATATTCAAGAGAAAAACCAGGCTAAATAAATACATATGAAGACAAAAAATTTAAGTTACACTAATTTTGCTAAGTTGGGTTGGAAACCTAAATTTCTGTTTGGTTTTCTACTTAACAGGCAGCTCATTTAAAACAGGTCTAGCTAAAGACTTGACACTAATAGATCACTTGAATGTTAAACAACCGCTCCACAAAGCAATCTTAAAATAAACCCTTGTCAAATAGAAATGCGGTCTGAATGGCCGGCTACAAACGACCTGACTTAGATACAGGATTTTGAGATATGTTTACAAATTACGATACATATGTATATCATTAAGTGCATTTGGGTTGTAATTTCAGTCTAAGGAAGAATGTACTCATCAAATCACCACAGAGTTTTCTAACACTCTGAAATCCTCTGACTAGAAATGGCTCTTCCAGTCAAAGCACAGCTGGGCCAGCTTCAGGGGTACTCTGCTGTCTCCTCTTCACTGGCTCACCCCTGGTTGCTAGAACCTTAAACATTATTCACTAAAGGAAAAGTAGCCCCTCAATGTCTAGCAACACAGAAGAGTAGACAGGTCCTAGAAAAGGCAAAAGGAAATTGAGATTTATGGCCTTAGGCTACAATGGTAGGGCTGAAAGGCTGTCTAATGTGGTTTCTTGTTTTATTAATGTAGAAACTGAGATTCAAAGTAATTAAATATACTATTCTCCAGGTTAGAGTGTATGATTAGAGTCAGGCTAACACTCGACACTGTGGACTCCCAACTCACTGCTCTTCCCATCCTATTCCACTGCTTCTCTATCAAGTCAGAAGATTGCCCTAAAAATAACGGAGAAAGATTACATTATGATTTTTCTAATGTATACGTAAGTGTGCATACACATGTAATCTAACCTGTCTTTTTAAAAAGGAAGAAAACAGAGTTTAATCCAAACATTAGAAGTTTAAATCTTGTTTCTGAGCACCCTGTTCATAGGAGTGTAATTGAAGAGCAGGCAGGTAGTGAGCGTCATTTCCAAAGAGATTTTTCCTGACAAGCCTACAGTCAAGCGCTGGTCACCAGCAAGACCATCCTGTGGCCGCAGCCATGGGGCGAGTCCTCTCTCTGACAGAAGGCTCGGAGGCCCAAAGGAGGGAGGCACTGGCTGGTTACCTCCCATTTTCAGAAGCACTTCAGTGGTTAGCTCCTGTAGTGAGATTAGGGTAATTTAATTTCCTGTTTGGGCTTATTTGTAGTTCTTATTTTTAAACGGCACTGAACATTTACTTATCAGCCAAGTATCTATTGCTCATGAAGAATAAGAAAGGCTTTTAAAGCCCTGGGGCCGGTTTCCAGGGGCCCAAGAAGACCATCCAGTCCGGGCCTGTATGAATGACAATCACAAAGTTTAATATCCATTTTCATTTGTGATGTTGTCAAAGATGGGGGGCAAAATTATAAGCTCATTAAAAGCAGAAGCCCACATCTTTTGTTTCCAGCACCAAGACAACATACAGCAATTTCTCGCCACCTGCTGTAGGTGTTTATCAGGTATTCGTTGAGGATCACAGTTTCAATGTTTTAAATTTACTTCTCCAGCACCCAGACCTCCAACCTGTCCTTCTGGTAGGCCACCTAGCTGACCAAGTGGACTCCCTCTCGGCTCCCACAGATAGGGGCATCTCCCTGAGTACGCGAGGTCCTAGATCCAGGACGAGTCTCACCTCAGGCAGGCTTGCTGGGAAAAGCCTGCCCTGGCCTCTCCCGACAGTAGGGGGGCTATTACTGCTCCAGCCCACTGTCAAGCCCACTTTGGGTCCAGAAATCAGTCATGTAAGATTGGCAGCAGGATTCTGTTTCCCAGGAAGTCCAAACTATAATTATGTACAAGGTAAAAATCTGTTTTCCTCAACTCTAGCCTCTTTTCCCATAAGATATTGTATCAAATCACAGCAGGGTAATAGATTTGAATGATAAAACAACCTTTCTATCAAAAATACTTAAATATGTGAATACAAGACTTTAAGGTTGGCATTCTGATCGAGACACATCAGGATTAAGCAAGTCTCATTGCATGAAACTCAAACTAACCTTTATGCTCCTCTTCGTACAATTTACCCCAACTTACCTCTCATCACCTTCTCACTCATGCTCCTTTTCCTCTTAGAAAATAATACTGCACTCTGCATAATTCGCACAGACTGGTGACACTAGAAACATGCATTATCTACTAAACCCCTGGAGAAATCACTTTACTTTTGATAGCTGCTACTTAAAATAGTGACCTCCCCCCACTACTTCCTCGAGTCACTGTCCAATCTGCTTTGCCAAGCGCTCAGTGGATCTGACAGTTCAGCAGACTGGAAGGAGTATACCTCAAGGGAAGAGACACACTAGCCTCTCCCCCCTGTGGAGGATCTGACACAAGTCCACACTCTCTCCCTCACATGTGGGAGGAGCTGGCTCTAGGTCCACAGAATGCCAACCCTTGGAAATGAAAAGAATGAAAAAGACGAAGAAGGAAGGAAAGGTAAAAAAATGAAAAACAGAAAACAGAAAAACTTTTCTTAAAGCACCAAATTACAGCAACAAGCTATACGAGATTGGGCATTAAAATGTGTCATGCCATCTACTCTGAATTACATGACTCTAAATCAAGTATCTGAAATAGTTTAACCTTTATTAAAAGAGGTTAAAACGGGTAAATCTAGTAAGTTACCATTTGTCAAAGAAAAATAAATTTATAGAGCAACTTCTTAGCAAACATTACTTGAAAAACTGGAGGCAAAAATCCAATAAGGGAATTTTTTCCAACAAACTGAATATGGTATTGGGTTTTAAAATTCCAAAAGAAAGTATTTCAGTCTTTGTCCATTTATTTATAACCATCTAGAAAATGTTAAACTTGTTAACTTTCAACTCTTAAGAAAATGTAAAAGCTATATTAGATAAGTTTTTCACTTTGTGTCTTCTGTAAACATTTTGCTTTCTAATAACAGTTCTATGCAAAAAGAATCTTACTGACAAACACACCCAGAACCAACACAAAGAGAAGCCCAGCACAAAGAAAATGAAAAGTTTTCTCTTTAACAAAATCTAGTATCTCAGCGAACCCAGCCCTAGCCCAGGCAGCAAATAAAATGCAGAAAGTCACAGATGTGGCATTTTATACACGGCCTTAGGATCATCCAATCCAATTTACTTATTTGACAGAGAAGTAAGGTCCAGAGGGCTTAAATGATTTGTCTAACGTCAGCAGTGGCCCCGTGGGGTTTCCACAGCGGCAGACCACTGAAGAATTATTCTAACCCTAACCTATGATCAATCTGATCTCCAGTTCATCTAAATGAATCATGAGATGCAGATGTGAATCATGCCAATGTGAAAACAAACTGCTGATACCATAAAGGAAATGTCATACAGGCAGGTTCCTTGTTTGGTAAAGTTTATTAGGTAGACAAGTTTTAGGATGACCACACTCAGTTATAAGACTGAAATAGGGCTGGGTCTCTAACAAGAGCAATGGGAGATTCAAAAGATTATTAGCCATAGTCCTGTTTTAGGTATGTCTCACAAGCTACGATAAACCATTTGGCTGATACCAAAAGAAATATGATTCCTTAAGTACACTAAAACTGTCTATATTTATGTTATCAACCATTTGTTTGATTCATCATCTTTTATAAACATTGGGGCATGGGAGGTCCCTTTTAACTGAATGGGAAAATAATTCACAGAGTGTCACATCAGGGTCTAAATGAACTAATTTATAACTGTGAAATAACTTAACTGGAATTAATTAAATTTGGTCTGAATATTTCTTTTTATCTGTTCTGAGCCTCTTATTAGAAAAATGAAATTTCATTTTTATTTTGTATGCTTTTTCTTATTAGAAAAATGAAATTTCATTTTTATTGTGTATGCTTTCATTTTAATTTCTCATACAGACACTTCTCATGTTGGCCTCAATATTATTTTCTTCCCTTTTCCAGTTCCGTTATACTCTTTTCCAGGTTCTACAGCAGCCTCCACTTCAGTTTTAGAAATTAAAATTTCAGCTAATAATACAATCTCAGAATGAATAACAAAGATTCCTATAACATGAAACATGGAAGACTTAGTACATACCCAGGACAGTTATTTTAACTATGATACAACCATGAAAAGTTAATATGTGACTAATTCTATGAACTCATTATTAATATAATACCAATCTGCAGAAGAATTAAGTTGAGCTCTTACCTCATACCATATCTAAAATTTAACTCAAAATGGATCAGGTCAAAGACATAAATGTAAGCCTTAAAACTATAAAACTCTTAGAAGAAAACTTAGGGAGTAAATTCTCATAACCTTGGATTTGGTAAAAGAGTCTTAGATATGACATGAAAGGTACAATCAAATAAAGAAAAAACAGATAAACTGAATTTCATCAAAATGAAAAACTTCTAAGATTCAAAGGACACCCTCAAAAAATTCT